GAACCGGACGTCTGTTTCCGCTTAGGCAGCGAATCACCCTGCAGACTTTGCCAAAGGAGGTTCGTGAATTCGATTCTTCACAAAATTTTCTCCATTGGCTCCTGAGAAGCCGGTTGGCGTATCTCTTGAAGACTGTACATATTCGGTTGAATTTTATCTTGTTCTCGAGAATCGGGTGTCGTCGGCAGCGAATCTGTGCCCTGCGACGAGCTGCGGAGAGATTCAGCAGCTTTAAGTCCGGGGATGGGAAGTGTTCTGGTAATCGGATAGTTCTTGTGCTGTTTCTTAGTGCTGTCTTTATTGCATCAATGATATCATCGTTCGTAGAGTCAAGTGTGAAGCGAAACGTGTCCCAGTGGATAACATGACATACTTTCTTTTTAGTGTTGGAACAACCCCTGATCTGAATCCAAATAGGGAAATGGTCGCTTCCCATTGTATCAGGTGCCGTGGACCATGTAACGTTGAGGGATGGATCATGCGCTGTAACATCTATTGCTGTAAAAGTCGATGGTACTCGCAAGTATGTCGGGCTGCCCTCATTTGCCACCACAAGTCCTACTTCATCGAAAAGTTCTTCGAGTTTCCTTCCTCGGCGATCTAATCGTACGTTACCCCACATTGTATGATGCGCGTTGAAGTCTCCGCATATGATAAGGTCTTGGCGATGTTGTAGACACCAGCTTTGGAAGCGGTCGAACATGTCCGTGTTGCTTCCGGGACGTATGTTTAGAGAGACAACAAGTACCGCTTTCTTTCCAATGCGTACCTTAGCTGCAACAAATTCTGCGTCTTCCGTACATAAATCAGTGGTTGGGATTTGACACTGGGGAAGCTCTCGGCGAATAAAAAGGGCTGCGCTCCCATTCGGAAAAGTCGAAATTGATGGGCACGTGTAAGTCTTGTACCCAGATAAGGAACAACCACTTCGGAGGCCAGCCTCCGAAAAAGCCAAAACGGGTATTGGCGGCTGTTTGATATATAATTTGATTTCAGAGAGTTTTGAATTCAGACCTCTGCAGTTCCATTGGAGTATTGTTAAGTATTCTTGTTTACCAGTCATATTGATTTGTTATCTGTGCCTGCAGTTTTCCTCTGTTATATTGTCGAAAGTGTATTGTCTTCAAGTTGCCGGTTGTGACAATTTATTTCTTGATTATAGCGCAAGGATGGCCTCTAGGCACAATATACCCTTAAGGGCCGTTTTGACCTCTCCTGCTGGTAGACCTTCCATGACTTTTCTGATAGTTGCAAATACTGCTTTTACGATTGTCATTTTGGGACTCTCAGCGGCATCTTCACGCTCAGGAAGTGTTGCGCTTGCCGGAGAAGTTTTAATCACCTTTGATTCTTCCGTTGAACCACTTGTTCCGCCGCTGGTGGAGGTCCTCGAACCTGCAGGCGTCACGGTCTCTTTTGATGGTATAACGCCGCAGTCGTTCGGACGTGCGTCTAAAAGAGCGGCTCTGTAACTTTTTCCTCCAGGCTTCTTGGGCTTCCTCCGTGAGTTATTTCTTGGTTTACAAGGCTGGAAGATAGTTGGCGTCTCCGACGAGGCATCTTCGATCGGGGAAAGCCGTGGGAAGTCATCTGGGCCTGCTGAAAATTTAACTTCCTGTTGCTGTGGTTTTGGTCCACGAAGGAATGCTTTAGTACGTGCCAGTGCTGCAAGTCTGACCTTGCAGTTAACGTAGCTTGCGGGGTGAGGATCACCACAGTTGGCGCATTTTACGGTGACCTCCTTAGAGCAAGAGGTAATGTCATGGGGACCTCCACATTTCTTACACTTTGTTTCCCCTTTGCAGTATTTTGCTACGTGTCCTATGGCTTGGCACTTGAAGCAGCGTGGTGGGGGCACTACGTGCTCTACTACGTCATGTCTTGTGAAGCCAAGATTTACCTGGCTTGGCCTTTCAGTGTTTGGACGGAAGGTTAGGAGAACTTTGTCCGTTGTAATAGCTGCGGCTCCAGGTTGACCATGTCGGTGAAAGAGACGCCGAACAGCAATCACTCCCTCTGGCGCAAGGTAATCTAACAGCTGAGCGTCTGAGTACCACTCGGGAACACCCCTGATGAGTCCGTGATTTTGTAGATATGTTGCGGACACGGAAGCTTGAACTTCAATGCCACACAGATTCTTCACTTTTAGCAATCGTCTGACTGCTTCCTCCTCGGCGATCTCCACACGGAGACCTCCACGTGCCGTGAAATGGTGGCGCAGTAGTTTCCCACCTGCTGCTGCGCTGATCGCGCTGCTGAGGTGTAATGGGTTCTGTTGCTGTAGGCGGCAAGTCTCATCCTTCGGAGTCAGAAGAACTGGCACGCCAGTGCTTCTTTTGCGGCGATGTTCCACGAGGATGAAGCCATCTTCGTTGTCATCCATTAGGTCACCAGTGTCATTATCGTCGGCGATGATCGTAGATTCTGAAGAGACGCTTTCATTTTCTTCATCGTCTCTTTCTTTTCTACGTCTCACTGGGTTACGTGGGCGCATATTATCTGCGGTCGATGCATCTTTCTTGCGGCAATGAGAAAGAACGTCACCGCTTGTTCCAGGCGTGTCTAAGTGAGTCATAAGTCGAAGCTGTGGAGTCCGAAAAAGCCTCCGGGTACTACCTTCGGGTTCCGGGGACCCAGCAGGCAGCCGTGAGCCCCTGGGGTGGCAGTGGCCGACAGGGAGTGGCTGATTTTCCACAAAATATTTGAAAATTCGAGGAGCGTAGAATGCAGCGATCCTGATACTAACAGTCTTCTTCTTCTTTTTTCTGTTTAACTGAGTCGCCACCAAACCTCTGCCAAACTTTCCCACGCTGCTACACGGGCGGTGGGTGTTTGTCGAGTGAAGATCAATCATACACTCTACAAAAAGTCTGTGCGTCTACTTCCACGCACAGCACTTGGAGAACCAATCAGTTCAACTTACGGAGGCAGCTCAGCGAATGACGATGCTGAAACATATGTTTAGACCAAAAAACGCAGAGACCAAAAAACGCAGTCTGAGTTGTGACATTAAGCAATGCAAAACGTCACGCTTGCATTGCTTAATGTCACAACTCAGACTGCGTTTTTTGATCTAAACATATGTTTCGGCATCGTCATTCGCTGAGCTGCCCACGTAAGTTGCGGTGATTGGCTCTCCAAGTGTTCTGCGGGGAAGTAGGCGCACTGTTGTTTTTTTTAGAGTGTAGGTGACCCTGATTTCGCACCATGCTTCCTTGAAACCTACTTGAGCCAGCTTTCGTCAATGACACTTTATTAATCGGGTGCATGTGCCCGTCTCTTCACAAATGCAATCGAAAACGACTGACTTCTAAAGAGAGGCAATATTCGCATATGTTATGTATTACAGCGTCAGCTGTACTGGACTTATACTGGGCGAGTGTCGCGTTGTCGAAAACGAACGGAGCATGCGAATGTTTATCGCAGGCGGCATACGCTCTCCCTTTCGCTAATTGAAGCGCAGCGCGTTCAGCCAGTCACGGTTCCCCTGGGGGTCACGTGACCGTGCTCCTCACCACCTGCTCTTTCTCGCATTTGGTGGCCCGTTCCCGACTGGTACACGTTACTAAAAAAAGGAACTATGGCTAAATGTAACTAATTACAGTTAGAATTACCCTTCCATAAAAGTAGGTGGCCGTTACTTCAAAAAGTAATCAGTTCCTTTCGCGACGTTATACTTTCAACCTTACTGTCCTAGGGTAAGAAACAAGACAAGTGTTATGGAAGATTTTTATTGGATCTGCCACTCACACTTTTGTGACTTTGAGCAACATCTGGCTCTCAAAAGTCTCATCGGACATCATGCCTCGTTTCCGAGATGTCGTCCTCCGCGCTATAAACCTTTCAATCCACCTTTTTCAAATAGGCGCGCGACAGAGCGGTTAAAAAAACAACGCGTTCGCAAGGCCTCCGTTCGACACCCAAAACGTCAGCTAGATCCTGCTGGTCCATTGTTAAGCTGTGACTTAGCGACGGCTTCCCCAAACTTCGCCTTTGTCCCCAGTGTAAATTATCTTGGTCCCTGAAGTTGATACAAAATCATCTCTCCCTCTCGGCCAGAAGGAAGCAAAGGAAGAGTAGAGGAACAAAAAGGAAACGCGCACAGGTCCGCTAAACCAGCCCGCGTGCACTATGGCCGTTTTCTTTCTTTTCGTTGGAAGGAAACATTTTGAACTTGGGAGTTTCCCTAACATTGCTCGCATGGAGATTTCAATTCTTTGTGTCAGTGCCCCCCCCCCCCCTTTTTTTTTTTGTTGTGGGCGAGAAAGCAATTTGCAAACAGCCAAACCACGAAAAAAAAAAAAAACACGAAAGACATTTAAGCATTTTTTATTGTGAATGCGAAAGCATGATTGTCGTTCTTCCGCCCCCTTAGTTCGTCTGCGGTGTACTGGCGTGGGCGGCCACGTTTCGCTACTGCAGAGTTTGCGGCCGCCGACGATATGACTGCCTGAGGCGCCGCCATGTTCCTCTGCTTGTTCCCAAGCCGTGCAACCGTGCCTTGCGTGGCCCAGTAGTAGCGTGTCTGACTCGCAACCGAAGGGTCGTGGGTTCGTATCCCGCATAAAATCCTTCGAAATTTTCTTTAAGGCAACTGAGTTACTTTATGGAGTGAAATCGTTTGAGACACTCGGCGACCTTTAACTCGCATTACATGTCATGGTTTTTTAATCACTTTCATTCCACGCGTGACGTCACGTTTCACGTGAGCGTTGTGGGTTGTTTGAAATTCCCGCGCGAGGTCATGTGAATGTGACGTCATGACCCTATCGATGAATTAGGAGTTTCGCGGCACGCCACCGATTTTCTTCAGCACGACTCGTTGACGCCATCGCGTTAAAATATTATGGAAGAGTCTCGGGAAATTTGGCTCTTTGTCAGAGTCTACTCTGAGTAGGCGACTAAATATATTAAGAGCGACGGTTGAGGTGTGACATAAATTGCAAGAACTCAGAATATTGCGCTCCTGTTAAAGGGTATAAGGTAAGAACGCAATTGACTTATATTTGCACGTCTTTATTAGGCATTTTCAAACTGCCAATAAAAAAAGAATTACCACGAAGCTCCGAGGCGAATTCAGATAAATGTGCAATGTTGTATTTAATATGAACTTTAAAAGAAGGCACTCGCTCTTCTTGGAAGAGCGATCAAGACTTGCGGGCTACCATGGCCCATCCGAATCGCTTGCCTCGGTCTTCTAAAATAGGGCCGTCATATTCTCCGGTGCGAAACCTCACGATCTCGAATCCCGCATCCGTCACTGCCTTTCTGATGATTTCTTCGGTGAGTACCATCATGGGAAGGGGTTTGTTGCCCACTTCGTACCAGGTGATTCCTCCCGTGCCGACCATGACCAGGAAACCTCCAGGCTTCACCAGGGAACCCATGTTCGCCAGAACACGTCCGAACGACTCTGGGTCTGCCGTCGCCGCCTCCAGACAGTTGCACGAAAGAACGACGTCGAACGGTTTCTTGTGTTCCTTCGGAAGCACTCCTGGCTCCAGGACGTCGCAGGGGATTACCTTGCTGATGGCACGTCGTGCTCGCTCCATGATTTCTAACGCTCCCTTTTTGGTGTCACTGCAAGTGAAAGAAGGAGTTTGCTACAGACATGATGACAGAATTCTCCGCGGACACCCTTCACGTATATTCCAATCATGTTTGCTTCATGCATATGTCATATGCATGCTCCTAACATGTCCGTATGCACCCACGGCTTAACAGCACACGTGATCCCCTTGAGCTCCCCAGAACGGCATTGTGTCCCAAAGATGTCCTGGGACCGAAGTTGGACACACTGTGTCATCCGAGGTCGTTCCTTCAAGCTGCATTGGCAGCCAACATAAACGGCTTGCTTGTTTCTGACGCAGCGTTCGGCTGACGTATAGTTAAACGCTGCGTCAGCGTTTGACTGCGATTCGTGTTCGGTCAGTGCCGATTGAACACGAGCACCGCCCGAACGCTGACACGGCACTTGCGAGCAATCTATGCCCAGAGCTCGATCGAGGTTCTTGACGTAAAGAATCCACCGCCCTCGTGTTGGGCAAACACCGCGCGCTGCAAACAAGCTGGATCAACGGCTGGATAAAGGGTCCCACCACTCTCTTTGCCAATACACGTTTGCAAGTATAGACCTTTCCAGGGCTTATCCCCCGCGCGAAAAATGCCGAGTCACTGAGCTGTGAACGCATGCGCAACGTCTGATATACGCACAACAGAGCTGCAGCTCGTGGTCAGAAGGCGTTCCACAGCCCAGCAGACAAAGATAGCAGCGCGCAGGACGTAATTTTTGGAAGGGTTTCAACTCAGGTGTCCTCGTAATATTGTTTTAAACTTAGTCTAAGTTGTAATGTATTGTTTTTATTTTATTTCTGCTCCGCGTGCTGGATATGCGAACTAAAAGTGAATATGGAGACGAGAGCAAGCGGAAAGGGTTTATGAATTATAAACCAACACACTGTTTACAAACAGGTCAGCGCCCGCCCACACCAGGTTTAAGCACTGGGCGTGGGCAAAAACCAGATTCGCGTGAAGGGAAGGTTCTGCGCATTCGCCATGCCGGTAGCAACACCACCGCAGCGGAGTGACGCTATGGTCGCGTGTTGGTGTATGCGGAGCGCAAGTTCGTCTGCTTTTTGCACAGAGGTTTCAATGATATCAGAGCGCCAAACTATTATTGGCTGATTAAAAAAAAAATAGTGTTTTTAGATTTTGAGGCATCTAGTATTCAGGTTTTCTCACTATCCTTTCAATCAAGGCCATTCAGAGCTCGGCATCGTTCTGACGTCACCGAAACCCTCTGAGCAACAAGCAGACGAACTAGCGCTCCGCAAAGTCACCGACCCAACTCTCTGACGTCACGCCCCTGCGGTGCCGCTGCTGTCGGCACTACGCATGCGCAGACTCTTCACCTCGCGCGAATCTAGTTTCTGCGCATGCGTGCCGGACGCAGGCTTGTTTGTAAATAACGTGCTGGTGTATATGCGCACCGGTGTCCCTCCAGTTCGGCGACTTGTTCGGCCCGGAACGACCAGTCGACCGAGTCTGCGCTTTTCTTGAGCCATTTGTCCACCTCGAGTCGGTTACTCTCGACCAGGTCACTGACCACAATGTCCCGGAACTTCTTCGTGGCCGAGAGCACGAAGTTGACCGTCGGACCAGAGCCGATGTCCACGAGCGTGCTCCCTTGGATGAGGTCTGCAAGAAAGAGATGGGCACGTTCTGAACTTCGAAGGTCATAATTTTTGTACGAAAAAGATTTTGTTGTTGTTGTTGTTGTTGCAATTTTTACGTGTTTAGACGCAATTTTGGTGGAGGTCACGGCCCGTTCTAAGCCCCGCCCACAGATCAGTGGCCCCGCCCATTACCACGTACTGCTGTACACTCTAAAAAACGTCTGTGCGTATACTTTCACGCACAACACTCGGAGAGCCAATCAGCGCAACTTACGGAGGCAGCTCGGCGTATGATGATGCAGAAGCATATGTTTAGACCAAAAAACGCAGACTACTGAGTTGTGACATTAAGCAATGCAAGCGTGACGTTTTGCACTGCTTAATGTCACAACTCAGACTGCGCTTTTTGGTCTAAACGTATACGTTTCGGCATCGTCATTCGCTGAGCTGCCTCCGTAAGTTGCGCTCATTGGCTCTCCGAGTATTGTGCGTGAAAGTAGAAGCACAGACTTTTTTTTATAGTGTATTGGCTTGGCTACTCGATCGAACATGCTCGGAAGCCTACTGTCTCCATTTTCCCGACATCCGGTGCGCCTAGTCTGGAGGTCTGACAACACCTGTTAGTCGTGTTAGTAGACGCGCAGCAGCCTCTGGTATCGTCTGCTATTCCACACCACCGTCTGTCATCGTCTGCCATGCACGGACGCGGACATAAAAGAGTCGTGTCAGCGTTCCTCTTTCGCCTTCGTCCGTCTGCTATTCCGCCCCCGTCTAAAAACGTCTGCAACGCTTGGAAGACGCGACCATGAAGGCAGCGTTCTGGCGTTCCATCATGCACGAGTCACGGTCCAGTACAAGCTGTTGTCAGCGTCTGTCGAAGTGGGGTAAAAGCGACCGGGAGGACTAAAAATAGTCAACAATATAATATGTAGTCCTTCCGGCTTTCCAGTTCTTGTTATTTTTTCCGAATGGCATCCGGGAGCAAGGGAGGTGAGCGCCATGAGGCACAACTTAAACGCGACCTAAAAATATTCGCATTGGCAGGCCAGGTGCGCTGAAAAATTGAGAGCTACTTTCCTTTCGAAGCAAAATGACGGGAATAAACCTGGACAAACTTGATGCGAGCCGAATGCCCGATTGCCGCCAGCCAAATGGCTCGCAAATTCTTTCCTGTGTAGGTATCTTCGCGGCATTGACACCATTGTTGCAATCACGACGGTCGCACAATTCACAGAGCTAAGTATAGTGGGTAGACCTCAAGGCAGCATGTTATGAGTTCTACCCACTATCCTTCGATTGGAACCAATGAGAGCTCGGAGTTCTGACGTGACCACAACTCCAGCAAAAGAAGCAGACGAACTTGCGCTCTGTTTAGGCACCGTAGCGTTAGTAAACTAAGTAACCAAGATTCACTTCAAGTACCGTATTTTCCGAACTATAGTTCGCACCCGGTGTATAGTCCGCAGGGGGAAATTTGGGGTCAAAAATAAAAGATTTTGCTTAGATAGCCCGCACCCGGTCCATAGCCCGCACCCGGTGCATAGCCCGCACCCGGTGCATAGTCCGCCCCTGGTGCTTAGTCGACACGAAAATCTTCTCATAGATGGCACACGTTTACAAATGTCTGCGTTTTAGCTCACAATAAAGCCTATAATGTGCATAAATCATCATTAACATACACTTTCGTGCACAGAATTCGTCACGTTTCGTCATAATAAACGATATTGAAAAACACAATTCCTGTATAGTCCGCACGCGTAGATAGTCCGCACAGCCAGAAATTTCAACTTTTAAACATGTATAGTCCGCGGACTATAGCCCGGAAAATACTGTATACTTCTCTATAGCCAAGCATAGCCAAAGCTACGCTGTGGGAATTAAGAAAGTAAGACTGAGAGCGTGAAGATAGACCAAGGACGAGAAGAAATAGTGTGTTCCCACATGAGATCGTGTAATGATGGTCCGTGTCATATTTTTTATGACCCGGACCAAATAAGCACGTTTTAGAGACATATTCACAAATTACTTACAAACGAACTACTTCATTAAAATGACGCAAACTATATCAAAATGATAATCTTTCAATGCATTTTACGAATATAGAAGAAAAATATGCTTAGCATTTGTTGTAGTTCCGTTATTAATGCAGAAACGCAGTGCATTACAAACAAAATTGCGTATTAATACTTAAAAAAAAAAACTGAATCGTTTACAGTTTACTGACTTTGCCGCACGTCGACTTCAAAGGGGCATTGTTTTACGACCGAAAAAGGCTGTACAGCGCTGATGCTCTATCGTAGGTGATGCTCTATCGTCGCAACGCCAGTTATAGTGCGTGGGGTTTGATTGTTCTGGCTGGTGCTGTCAAATGTCGGATGTCATCGTGATGTGCAATGTCGTCTGCAATATCCGGGAAAGTGCGACGCATTGAAATATACATGTATTTTTTACGCACGTGCCTATATATTTACTAGACTGAGGCGTTCTTCGTCTCCGGTCTAACAGCAAGCGACGATTTCGCTTTCGGATCAACACACAAGCTCACTTACTCTCCACTGCTAAACAAAAAAGGTGATATATTTTTTGGCTAATGAATTTGTTAAAAAGCACACACACACACACAAAAAAAAAGATGATTGATATGCGTCATAAATGTAATTGTATCCCAGGCACAGTGTAACACACTGGATTATGGACACACCGAAACCTGTGCAGTACAGGCGAAGGCAACGCCAGGCGCGGGGAGGAAGTACAAGCACTAGGAAGGCTGGGTAGGAGGAGAGAAACCTGCTCTCCTCTCTAACGTTCCTAGTGCTCTCCCTTTCTCCCCTCACTATCCATTGCCCTCCTCTCCCGTGCCGCCTTCCTAGTGCTGGCCCTTTCTCTCTTCCCCAGGCGTTGCCTTCGCCTTGACTCCACACCCATGTTCCGAACAATAAAATGAGTGGGCGCGTGGCTCCTAAAAATAAGTTTATTTTTTGTATTCTTTTTTGCAGTAAAATCTGTTAGAAAACACTACTCTGGCGAAGGAGAAGATTGATAAGAGTAATAAAGCTCATCCCGGATACAGTATAACGGTGTACTCTGGAAACACCAAAAACAAAACGTCAATGTTAAAAACACGCGTGAGCGCGTGTTTAATGTCTAACTTTCATGACAATCCCTCGAACTGAAAAAAATCGTCAACGCTTCCATTTACGGCATTGACCGACCTCCGAGGCCCTTTGGAATAGGCCCTTCCCAAAAGTGAGCGCCTCTGGTGCCAAACGAGCGAACTACACAAAATCCGCCATTACTGCGTCGTCGAGTTTTCGCACCGCTCGGCTCAGTGCTATATTGGTGAGATGCCGACTCACTGCTGCGTCCCCCAATGCAGCCAAAGAGGACCAAAAGATGAAGAAAAAAATAAGGTAAGTCATTGTTGTGAACATAGTACTTTATCGTTGTGAAGATGAAGTGAAGATGGTTAGGCAGATCCGCGCGGAAGAGGCAGCCGCCATCCGTTCGCACGGGGTGAGAGTTTCAAAGGAACTGCACTAGGACGCTGATAACACATTAAATCAAAGTTAACCTGTTGCAAGGTCTGGTTGAAAAGTCAGCTGGACTCACGCTGCTCGATTTAGTTGCATAGGTCAACACGTTCAAAAGTATCGGGCGTGTGTTCGCCGCTTCGTAGTCGAAAGCACTCATGACGAATGTTTTCGACTACAAAGTCATAAAAGGATAACTCGCGTCCACGGAGCATAATCTTGAAATATAGTTGAGCTGCACCAGTGATCTTTCGCAAAGCAAATATCACTCTTTGTAGCCGCGGGAATATCTGAGAACTTTACCGAGTACTGGGAGTTTATTTGTAGCAACGTTTTGCGGTGCAGTGGTGTAAAGTTCAATCGATGGTACGAGCACCAGGGCGTAGTTTTGCAAAATATTTTGCCTGGACAAGTACTCGCGCGAGAAGTGTACATCGCTGGGACTGCTCGCGAGTCGCGCTCGTTCTTGTCACGCCAGATCCCAGAAGCAGTCGCTCGAGAAATTCACACCGCTAGGACTGCTCGCGCCCGTCCTTGTTACGCCAACCCAGAATTTCTTGGCAGGATTCATGGTGCGTCACTGTGAAGCATGCTTGTGAATCCTGACCTGAAGCAGTACAGCAACTATCTGCTATACCAGGGACCATTTCCTTTGGCAAAGTGAATAATAGCTTTAAAGAGTGCTGGAAGCGCAGAAGGAACTACGTTGCCTCAGAAGGTTGCCCTTAGCATAGAGCCCCCTCATTTACAACCCTATTACATTGCAGGCCAGTTACACAGTCATGTTTGTGTGCCATGATATAAACTAATGAATGAATGATTGAACAGTGAGGTGACGGCAGCACTGTAGAGTAAATCAAATATACACATGGGTGGAATGGGAAGCATGACTTTATTAGGGCAGTTTAAGCAGCTTGCTTGTTGAGACAAACCGACAGGGATACAAGATAATCTGTTAAAGCTTATCACGTCAGTTCCTATAGCTCAATACACTCAGTTGTTCATAAAGAGAGAGATAGCTGTTAAAGAAGACATCTCTTAGTATAACAGCCAGAAAAGAATATGTGTGCTTTGCAATGTTGCACCTGCATTATTTTAATTATATAATCATATTATGCAGGTTTCCTACTTCGGCTTTCCAAAGGACAAGGAGCTGTTCAAGAAGTGGATTGTTGCTATAAGGAGAGATGAAGGGAAGCATTTCAAGGTTTCCAAGTCGACAAAAGTGTGCTCCAAACACTTCAAGGACAAAGACTTCCTGCCTGGCTACGTGAATGGCAGGAAGTTCCTAAAAGAAGGGATTGTGCCCAGCACATTCCGATTCTCAGCTCCGAAAGTGCCGAGAAGAAAAGTTCAGAGGCGCAACACTCAACCAGTAAGCAACCCCATCAACATGATTGCTGCTGCTGCAGACGATGAATGCGACAGCACAGCAGTTTTTGAGAACCAGCCTCCACCACATCCAGGGGTATGCGTGCTGGCTGCAGGACTTCAAGGGCAAGTCGCCGTACAAGCTGCGCGAGTGAGTCAGCTGACGTCTGATCTCCAAGAAGCTCGAGAAGAGCTCGCTGAAGCCAGAAATGAGGTCCAAAAATTAACAAGGCACATTGAACTTCTAGAAGAATCGAAGAAGAAAATGGAAGAGAAACTGAGCCGAAAATTCTCAATAGAATGTTTCAAGGACAGCCCCGATGATGTGCTGTTTTACACGGGACTGCCAAACTATGGTGCCTACCTTTCCTTGCTAAAGTATGTGAATCCTGGAAGCAACGGTGAAAACATCAAGGTGTGGTCAACCTCCTACTCCCGAGGTAGCAGCAAACAGGGGCGACCACGAAGCTTGCCCCCTCACGACGAGCTCTTCTTAGTGTTAGTCCGCCTTCGGCTTGGCCTTCTTGAGAAGGACTTGGCGTACCGATTTGGGATTTCAGTCTCCACGGTGTCAAGACTCTGCATAACGTGGATCAGTTACCTCTACCTGTACCTATCACAACTTCCCCTGTGGGCAACACGGCAGGAGGTCGACGAGGACATGCCACCTGCTTTTAAAGAAAAGTATCCAACAACACGGGTTATCCTCGATGCAACCGAGATCAAGTGCCAAGTGCCGAGCTCCCTTGTGCTTCAATCCGCGAGCTTTTCGACATACAAGTCGACGAACACCTTTAAGGGACTCGTAGGGATATCTCCAGATGGAGCTGTGACATTTGTGTCGCAACTCTTTCTGGGGTCAATGTCGGACAAGGAATGCGTACGGCAGAGCGGATTTCTGGAGCGTTCCTTTGATGAGAATGACTCGGTCATGGCCGATAAAGGATTTTTGATTTCCGAGCTCCTGGCGAAGATCAATGTACAGCTCAATATCCCTCCATTTCTTGGCCAGGGTACATTCACGGAGACTCAAGTCAAAGAAACTGAGAGCATTGCATCACTTCGCATACACGTGGAAAGGAGAATACAGCGAATCAAAAGCTTTCACATTTTTGATCGTGCCATCCCCCTGTCACTCGGGCCAGTAGTGAATGAAATATGGACCATTTGCACGATACTGACAAACTTTCAGAGCCCCCTGTTACGCCAGCATGAGGATGGTAGCACTGCTCTGGATTAGCTGTATTCGTTTTGCTTAATTTCTGCCTAAGCGTTTGAGGACGTCAATGGTCCTCCTTACACCATAAAGCTTTCCTTCAACTTTGTCTCTACGTGTTTTACATATCTTGCCAAAAGTCAAACTTGGGGGTTTTACGTGCCAAACCAACGACGGGCATCTGGCATGCCCCAGCGGAACTGTGGAACACAGCACGATAGATGAACATAAGAATGGAGCTTTTCACATTTTAGTTGTTTAGCCTGGCGTCGACCATATGTTACAGCCTAGGCTTGTGCCTTGCATATGTACATTTCACTACACTTTAGGGCAACCCTGTACTCTGGGGGCAGTCTTAGCCATACTGTACATTTCACTACACTTGTGCTCTGGGGCAACCCTGTACTCTGGGGGCAGTCCTAGCCATACTGTACATTTCACTACACACTTGTGCTCTGGGGCAACCCTGTACTCGGGGGGGCAGTCCGAGCCATACTTTGGTTAGCCTCGGCGGCACATCTGCTCACGAGTTCAACCATTCGGGACGTACCACGGAGCACACCTACAGTGTTATGGCTCGCAAAAACAAAACAGATGACCGGATGTGGCGCTGCTGTCAACTACATGAGGAGAAAGTGGATGTAGGTGCTGCTGTGTGACCCCTCTTAAGGCCCGCCCACACACTTGCATTTGACTAGAACCAACCGAGGAAAGGCTGGTTTTCAATACTGTTGTGATGGCTTGCGACCAGCTCAACAGCGGCGCATCCAGTTGTAAGCCGTTGCAAGAGGCTTAAAGACCGGTTTTTGTCTCAGTCGGTCGTACTCAGTTGCAAGTGTGTGAATGGGCCCTTACCCTAAAAGACAGAAGCAAAATACTGTGAGCAACAAGGCCCCAGTCTTGTCACTTCTTCTCGAGGTGTCTGCACCAGCACCATACAACAAATCCATTTAAAAAAACACGACAAAGTGTTGCATTTGCCACTACAACCTCACTAAAATGCTGACAATTTTATTCAAGTTTCATCCTCGAAAAATGGCACTGGTCTATCAAAGCTGCTGCTACTCTCCTTTCGAAAAATAGAACTTGGCGATTGGTATTGATGCTTCCCTGCAACACGCATTCCCTCATTTCATAATTGCTTCTTTTTCTTTTCACTAGTTCTCAAGGAATTGGCTATTGGCTATTTTATTTCGGAATGCATTATGCTGGAACCGAAATGTCCGCGACATTTTAAATGGAGGTATTTGCACACCAGAAGAACCTTGGTGCAGTAGCTGAAGTTATGCACCTGCACTGCAAGATGTCAAAGAGTGAGCGTTCTACAAGGCATACAAAAGGCAGGTAGAAACGTGCTTGAGATGTCACTGTGCGCTTTGCCACTTTTCGTAGTTACCGACGCTGACAGCGCGCTTGAGAGAAAAATGCAAAGAAATTGTGAGGAACAAAATAGTGCTGTAGTAGTACCAAAGTGAGAAGATTGGGAAGGGAGATGGGGGTTCGAGCACATGCTCGCGGACAAAATAAACAGTAAAAGCATTTTCACGCAAAATGTGTGGGTGACACCACCCAAAGACAGATCCGTGCACATAAAAGAACTCTACACTAGCATGGAAACACAGTATATAGAAACATTTGGAAGCTTTTCACGAGACAGTGCAATGTCCGTAACGATCGCAATGAGTTCAGGAAGGTAACTCATTCTACGCACGAAAGGCAAATGGTTGAACTGAATTAATTAATGTGTCTGTTCAGCAAGAGGTATAAAGAAAACTTTTACTGCATGGCACATAGGGATAATCTATTCAGAAGTTCACTTGGTTACTGACAGCTGTACTAGAAATAATAAATTAAGCATGAGCATAAGATAATTACTGCTGTCATTAAACTATTTAAGCATGAGAATGGATGTGTTTGTATTTACTGCTCGTGACTGACTTGGGATTGAAAAACTAAAGTACATATCTAAGTGCAGAAAAATGTTTTATGAAAAGATTATGAAAAGAAAACAATGCCAATAATGCCCGAGACAAATTTGTAGTCGACATATCTGAACATGTATGACTCAATCTGTCTCTTGTGTTTAAAGGGATAGTTCAACGAAATTGGGAATACTCCTGTCGTGTTCAAAAATAGGTTGAATATGATCCACAATATCCGTAAAATGACAATCGCGCGTTTGTATTTTAAGCCTGGTGGCTGTATTTTTCGTTATAAACGGCCGACTCTGGCAAGCGCTCGGAGAAGGCCCAGCGGAGACCACGTGACATGGGTCGTCTTGGGACGAGCAAAGCTACGGAGAGGCTGACGTCGAGAGGATGGCCTAGTCGCTCCAGCCACCGAAGCGGCTGCTTTTGTACGAATTTTGAGTGACAGGTTAATCTTGTAGGGGGACGATAGCGACTTCTGCGACACACAAAAGGCATCTCGAGAAGAGGGAAGTTCCTCCTACCCCTCTTCTGTCGTCGTGGCCGGAGGCGAGACACTCACCGTCACTAGCTGTCAAGGTTCCTAGACGGGCATTACAAGCGAGGCGTTAGCGACATCCACCAGGTGTTCTTTGCTAATCGTTTTAAAATTCCTTTTCGAGGCTTTTTTAACAAGATATTGGTATGTTCGATGTGATACTGCTCCTTTGAACAGATATAGACCAGAAAATGAGCGTCGAAATTTCGTTGTAGTATCCCTTTAAGATATAAAAAAAAAAAAGACTGCTTGTTAACATGACAAAATGGCACGGTTGCTCTGAGGTGAAGCACTGGCTTTACACAATTATGCGCGACTTTTGCACAAGTATGGAAGCAAGACGGAAAAGTAGAAGTCGTCTAGTGCTGCCTTGCATTCTGACCAGTTTCTATCAGAAAAATAAATTCTTTCCACAATCAAAAACTGATGGGAATAAACCACAAAGTCACCCCACGGCAGCCCAGAGAGAGCCATCTGTCCAAGGATTTGGTAGTAGTTCTTGCGATTCCTGTTGAGGCGGTATATGCCTGCAGCGTCCTTCTCCATGTAGAAATTGACTGCAGTGTCGAGGCCTCCATCTTTCAGGGTGTAGGGACACTTTACCTCAACGACTCCATGAGGAGTCGCTTCCGCTGGATCCCACACGAGCCTGTCCGGAGACGCCCCAAGCCACGGGCAGTCTGGACGAACAAGAATGCCGCAGGGGAATGTCTGGATGTCATGCCCCAGGGCTCGCAAAGAACTTTCGTAGCGCTGTACGGCGACCGGCTCATACTTGATGCCATGCCTATTGGAATATAAAAGGCGTGTAAAGGTCAGAAACCGGATGCCGAGAAAGAATTTGAAAAAAGGCTCTGGAATTAGACACAAACACGGCAATGGCTACCCCACATTCAGACTGAATTTAGTCATACCCACTGCTCAGTCATGGCTGCATGGTCACTGACACTTTATCGGGAGCTTTGTGTTTTATCGCTCATCACTGATGAGACACATGACAGTAATGGTGTGCTTGCACGACGAATATTTTTCCCGCGGATAGAGCTAAACGTTAATCACGAAGGTTCTGTAGGTGGCTCACAGTCTTCCGAGAGATTCTCGAAAACAGGAAGGCACCGTCCTTTTGGGAAAGGACTAACGGCAGTTGCAATAAACTGCAAAGCACTTTTCTTTGGTTTTTTTTATTTTTTTACTCTTCCTTTTGTGCCTTGAGAATGCGATTGTCACAAACAGACTCATGAGAGCACAAGAACTTCAGACACCGAAGACATGCGATTCCGTCGTGCGAGCACCCGCTCAGATTTTCCTCACTACTTCCTCCTCCTTGTGGCTTTCCCCCCTCGCAGGTCAACGAAATACTTGGTACTCTCTGCAGAAATACCTCCCTCATGTGTATACATCATAAATAGCGTCGATAGCACCGCCATCTTGGTTATATAAACCGGTGTTCTCTTTTGTTGTAAATTATGAGAAGAAGCAGATGCACAGAACAAGTTCACCACTCCTTCGGATGGAGGGAAGTTCGTTCTGCCATAATGCCTTCCCAGCAATAGGCTTCCGCCAACCTGTGGGCACCCCAGGGTCCGAACACGCCAAGTGACGCTCTAATGTAAGCTTTAATTCAAGAGCTGTTTCCTCCAAGGAAATTTTATAATCACCTGACTGCACGGACGTGAGAGAGATCCTTGGGTGAAGTCAAGTTGATGAGGCCTTTCGTAGTCCAGCTCTCTCGTGTGGCAGCATCCCCAAAGCAGGAGGCTGTGAGTCGGGTCTGCCGGGCTGCCTTCCACAGCGGACTTTTAGACTGTTGTCGAGTGTTTCTCTCCAAACATCTAGCCTCCGTAGAAGTCACCAGGAGAGACTGAGAAAATAGTAGCCTTTGTTAGTTGGTTGGAATCATTGACACCCAACGCATGAAAGGGGCGACATCTGAACGCATAGGTCACAACGAACATGCAATTGATTAATTCTCTGCTGGTACACAAATAGGTGCCGAAGGTCTTACACACCATTGGTGCCTATGGTGGCTTGGAGCTCATGGCCATGAGCGACTATGTGAATAGCTAATGCCACATCACAGACTTGTTTTTTGAAACGGGTTGACGGTTGTAAACAAGGGATAAATAAAGTTAAAAATACTTGAAGGAATAACCTTGTGCTGGTGTGCATTGCTTCTAGCACTGGCACAGCTACAAACATGACAGTTTTGCAAAGGCTCTTGTTCTACAAGGTCCTATGTGTGCGAGAAACGGTATGCCACTTTTACCACTCGGACTCTTCAAGTTCTTTTGAGTTGCAGTCAATGGTGCCAGCCAGAATAGTGAATGACATAAAGAAACATCAGCTTGTACTCTATTTTTACACATGCCAGCCATTACTGATGTTTGGGCGATAGGCTCATCAGCAGCCAAAATGGCCCTGGCAGATTCACTTGGGCGGCTCCAAAGAGAAAACACAATAAGAAACAGTCTAGCGATCCAAACACGTCCCCAATCATGCATATTGAGTTATCTCGTTGGTCGAGCCACTCGTCATGCTTCTGATATTTAAAAGCACAAAATATAAAACTACTGAAAAGTCACTTGCATGTAAACGAATAGTGCAAATGACGGAAAGGTGGTACCAGCGTGGTTGCAAACTATGAAATTAGAGTGGAATGGTGCTAAGGGTGATTCACACACTTGCGTTGAGTTTGACCGAGTACAAGGGTTGTTACGGCAACAGCTGTGTCGGCTCCAACAAAACCAATTTTTACCCCGCTTTGTTGGAGCCGACACAGCTGTTGTCATAGCAACCCTCGCACTCGGTCGGACTCAATGCAAGTATGTGAATCGCCCTTTAGGCGATACCATCGTATAATGCAGTGTGTGCAGCTGACCAAGTAGGCAGCGTGCTCGTGGCCTAGCATTTATTGCGCTTGTCTTCCATGCAAAAAGTCAAGGTTTGATGCCTGGCCGCAGGTACACATTTTTGTTGACTCTGTAATGTGATGTTCTGGTAAATTCGAGAACCATGTTGCTGATTCGTGGTTAGAATGTTCTACATGCCAAGCCTTCTACGCTGATTGTTCTACATGCCAAACCTTTTACACGTGTACAAAAGAGGCTCCACGTGGCAAGCCGTGGTCAGTCTTACGCTAGCGCCGGATTCTGCCTCTTCGCCGACATCGTCGCTCGCTTACAACACCTTTTCTTTTTAACCCTTTGTTTTAAGCCCAAGTTCGCCATATCAAACGTGTCTCCTTCCTGTTTATTTTTGTTTGTTTTGATCACCATTCATGACAATATCAAGATCTATTGCGAAGGTGCAAGCGAACATCCAAATATTACTTGTTGGTGTTTGCTTTGCTGGTACCTGCAATAAACACCTGAAAATGAATGATGTGGAGATTACACTCTCAGGCTGTTTTGGTCTGCCTTTGTTTTTCTTGTTCCTTCTTATATATTTGCCGCATGAACGGTGTTGTTGTAAGCATCAGAACACAGCTATGTGTAAAAAGGTATGGTACCTTAAGGAGCAGGTCTTGTTCCACGGGAAGGCTCAGCCCAGACATCTTCCAGTTTATGCAGGCGTCGAAGAAGGTCGGCTCACAAGGCAGCGCCTGGTTTCTTTCCTGGACATGGCCCACCTCCGGGCTGATGAAAGTCTCGTATCCGAAAGGCACCAGCGCCTGCTGGTAGGACAGGACACTGCCAACCGGAGCCAGGCCAAACTTCGTCTTGACCGGATCAGCAGCAGTTGCCCTTCGGAGGCGCTTTGCAAAGGGCGAGGCTTGACTTGAATAGAGACTCTCTCCAAGGGCTTGGATCGAGGCCATTCTATCACTGAAGTGCATCGCGTTTCTTTGGGCATCATACAACTTGGACGTGATAGGGGTTTCCAGCCCGTCCTCTCGAACGCTTCTCCAGTCGACCGACTGCACGCTTGTGGAGGCAACTGCTTCCCCTCGTGGACGGCGCCACTGCTGGGGCAACTCAGTGCAGGCTACTGCAGGGGGAACTTCTTCATAGTCCTTCGCTCTTAACAAAGCGAGAAGCTTGAGGAGGGCCAGACTGTGGTTGCACGCCCCACTTTTGCCAGCTGCACACTCACAGTCGGCACCCTTCACAACTCCACTCTGCAGGAGGTTCACAGAAACCTGGTAAGGCTTTGCTGCTTTCTTTTGGCTCCTGAAGCAACTTGCTTTGGCGTGAACACCAGTAGGTGAGCTGAAATGAATAAAAATAAATGTGATCATTAGCCTTTTTGTTCACACATATGTGCTCCATAGATAGTTTAAGTAAGCGACATGATCTTAAATCTCTGGAAATATGTTGTATACACTCGCTCGAACTATCTTTTGCGCGAGCGTGATCGTGCAAACACACCGAATCGTCAACGGGAAACCACCAGCTCTGGAAACAACACGACCAAAACAGACGTACGACACGAGCGATTCCGTTTTGAACTCAATCCCCCACTCGTCACTTCGCACGCCACTGAGTCTCGCAACATCATGTCAAACTGTGAGAAAGCAACGACTATGGTTTGTTTCAACATATTTTCCCAGTGCGGAAGATGCCGAAGATGGAAATGCAAGCATGATTCCTAACGCGCTTCGAAGCGTTCAACGACACAAGCGCGCGCGCACGTAGCTGGCGCGCTCACAGCCTGATGCTTACGTTTGTAACTTTGGATTCCCTCAGATTTAGGTCGAAACAGGGGACAAGAAACAGGCGTGCTTCAATGCTTACCTGTACACTCGAATCGACGAAGGCTCTAGGTAGGCCTCGGTGAAAAACTTCTGGCTTCGGACGACTTGACGGCTGGACGCCAATCTCGACGCGCGGTAGGCCTCAATCTTCTCTTCATTGAAGCTCCGCGGAATCGTGACAAGACTAATGCTCCAAGGCGAAGCTGATGAGACGTCAGCGGTACCGGCGGTACCTACACAGGCAGATGCCATAGCCGCCATAGCCCGCTTCAAGTGCGACGCCGCTCTAATGGCGGCGGTTTCGGTTTCTCAGTGTTGCTTGACTGACTTTCGGGAAGGGCCTATTGTGCGATGATAAGCGCCGTGTTCTATGGGTGGCGAGCTATTCGCGGTGACGTCAGGAAGACGCCGAACTCCGATTGGCTCCGATTGAAGAATAGGGGGTAGACTTCGAAGCAAGCTGTCTTAAGGACTACCCAGTACCCACTATCCTTCCAGCGGAGCAAACGGGAGTTTGGCGTCTTTCTGGCGTCACCGCAACCCTGCAAAAGGGAGCAGACGAACTTGCGCTCCGTATAGTCACCGACAGAATGAGAACGGCAGGGCGCGTCTTTCGAACGCCCAGCCTCCAGCACGCGCTTCGGCTGCGCGCGCGCACTCGGGGCACGAGACGCCCAAACGTTTTCGAAGGGAGAAAGTTCGCGTTGTGTATATACCACGGGTTAGCTCAAGCTCCTCTGTGCCGTTCTTGCTCTTTTCAGTGAGCATAGCTCGAAAGCCGCAGTCGCGCTACCCGTCATGCAAAAGACACGGTGGTTGCTGCAGACAAGATAGAAGCATCTGCGAACACGCCTCGAGCAGAGTCGAAGCATATTTGCCCTCCATACATATGTATACGCTTTTCACGCAGTGTTTTTTTTTTTTATTATTATTAATATGACATGATTAAGTAAAAATACACGTCTCAGACCGCTTCCGCAGACTGGCGTTTGTATGATGTTTTTTTTGCAGTTTTACCTAGTGATTTATTGGGAAATGGAAGCGGTTATGGGTTTGAGGAAAAAAACACTTAAATCGTCTCCATTTCGCCTCCTGCAGGATCACGAATATCGAGATGATTCTTCAGTTTGGTGTGCGGAACACTCTAAAAAAAAGCCTGTGCGTCTGCTTTCCCGCACAACACTCGGAAAACCAATCATCGCAACTTACTGAGGCAGCTCAGTGAATGACGATGCCGAAACATCTGTTTAGACCAAAAAACGCAGACTGAGTTGTGACATTAAGCAACGCAAGCGTGACGTTTTGCATTGGGCGCGTTCAGTAGCGGCCCCGGAGTCAAGGAGTCACTGACTCCTTCCACTGGACGGCCAAAAGTCACTTCCGGTGCACGTAACTCCGGGGCTTCGGAGTCAAGCTCCGAAGCACCGAGTCTGGAGACGGTGCACGTAGAGTCAAAGGAGCTAAAATGACGTAATTTCCTGACTGGTGACGATTTCCGGCGCTAAAAAAGGAAAAAACAAACAATATGGCGGGATAAGCTGCTTCGGTTCTGTCGCTGGTGCCCGGTTTGCTCGCTTTTGTTAATGAAAAGTGCTCAAGTTAAGACGAATAACGCGTTCGAATATCTTTTTCAGGTAAGGCTCTTTCGGAAAATGCATTGGACAGTATTTTGTTTGGTTTGAATATGCTAATAAACAACGTAAACGTTCATTTGACGCCGTGTCTTGATCGCCATTGCACGGAAACTCGGTGATTATCGACGATAGTCCTGTCCGCGCTGAACAGAGCAAGGCAGGGTATGAACGCGAATTCGGTAGCTGGTCGGAAACTCACGCAGAGCATGCTCCCGATTGATGTTGTGTTTGCGTAGCTAAATCGGGGTGCACGTTGGCTGACGCTCGCTTCGGCCGACAAAACCTTGATCGCCGAGCGTATACGTGTGTATACGAATACATTTTCTTTCCGTGTGTATACGAATACATTTTATAGGAAGTTCGTTACGAAGGGCAGAACAAACGTATGGCCGTATAAAGGTATCGCAACCGGCGGGGTAGATTTGCCGAGTTCTGTATTTTGCGTGTGCTGACGACGTTTTTTGTCGGCTTTTATAACAGTAGCTGCCTTTGCACCGCCAAGCGAAGGGCTCGATGGGCTCGATCGCGTTGCATCGCTTCGAACAGCAGCGCTGATGTGTACAATCACCCGCTTTTTCTTCAACGACTTCGTCAAGACTTCTTCAATACCGGCGTCCAAGAAAAGCGATCGTGCTCGCCATCGTCTGCTTCCAGTTTATTCGGAGACCGTCTGGCACAGGGGAGGAAGCGGAAATTGCGTAAAGCAGGTTTAGAGCCGCGGGTTTTTTTGCCGTTCAGTAGGCGCTCCGATGACTCCGACTCGAGGCACTCCGTTCGGAGGCAAGGGAGGCGCTACTGAACGCGCCCATTGCTTAATGTCACAACTCAGACTGCGTTTTTTGGTCTAAACATATGTTTCGGCATTGTCATTCGCTGAGCTGCCTCTGTAAGTTGCGCTGATTGGCTCTCTGAGTGTTGTGCGTGAAAGTAGACGCACATACTTTTTTTAGAGTGAGGCTGCAGAAAATCAGTTTCAAAGTAGCGCTGCAGCCCCTCCTTCCCGGAGCTAGAGCGGAGCGCTACGGCACAAAAGGGGTTTTCGGGATCTCCGCTCTCGCGCATCTTCAACGCCTATCAAACGTAAGCACGCGCACTCTCGCTATTTTCAAAATGATCAGAAAGAGACGTCACGACGGGTGTCAGTGCGGGGTACAATATTGGCGAGAAGATCGAACTATAGGGGGCGCTCTTTCATCATCATCACCACCACAAAGAATCACAGTGTGGTAAACCACCCCGACGCCAGCACTGGCCTAGCGTACGCCGCATCGTTTCCGGACTCGCTGCATATTTGTTTTTAGCGATACGGTGCGCACTTGCTGCGTATACTGCACTGCTCGAAGCATGCTTTTATATCGGGTATGTAGCGCGGAGAACTCGTACGCGACGATCCGGACACTGTCCGCCGTTGGCTCTGGTGCGACGCTGTACTCAATGACATGATCGCAGTTGAGCACGTCCACTCCTTCAATGAGACACCGACGCCAGAAACGAAACGTCTGCGTGTAAACGAACGGCGAAAGTAACGGATGCTGCTCATCAACATGGCGGTCGGCAACCGGCGGCCCGCATCCGGCCAAATCCGGCCCGCGGGCCTCCTGAATCTGTCCCGCGGGCTGTTATGGACTTTATCCAACACGGGAATCGGCGCTCGTTGTTGGTGTTGTTGTAGTTGTGCTGATAGTTGGCCTAGGGTGTCTGTCGACGATGTTGGCAAATCCAAAGAACGGCCACCGCCCGTGGGATTTGAACTTTGGACAGCTGCGTGCGAAGCCGAGGCGCTATCACTGAGCCACGCCACGGCGTTAACAGGGAGTTTTCGTAGACCACGTTGCCCCTTCCGCTAAGCGTTCCGCAACGAAGAAGTAGCTACTGCGCCTCCGCGCCGATAGCCTTGACTGTGGAGTTCCCGCTATCGTAGCGGGTTGCGGAGGGCCTTGCGGGACGGCGAAAACGATCTACGAAAACTCCCTAACGACCGTCTTACGCGCCTTCACGCGTAGTGGAACCAAAAAGGAACAAAAGCGTTGGGAGCAAAGTGGACAGATGTCCATTTTGTTTCGAACGCTTTTGTTTACGCGGTGCGCGAACGCGACGCCGATGCCAAATGACTTCGCCGTAACGTGTCGCAGCAATCGCTGTGAGTGCTGTAGATTAACGCAAAACTACTTTTTTTTTCATCTTGTTAGGACAATTAAGCATTGGAAGGCATTAGACGAAACGACTCTTAGTGCTGCAAATGCAGGATTTTTTTGCTATTATTGTTCACCCCCGCAATGTTGCCGTACTGGTACTACAGGTACTGCGAGTGTTCTAGAAAAAAGATATTAATTGTAGTCGGTGAAGAGGTAAAAACGTGCGTTAAACAAGAGCAATTAACACTAAAAGTTTAAACACATAAAAAATAAAAAAAGTCGTTCGCAAAAAAGAAAAAAAAGAAAAAAAGAGACTTCTGGAGAAATAAATGATTCTCTTCGGCGACCAGAGAAATTGTATTGCCCGTTAAAACACCTTATTTTGGGGACAGTTTAGGACGCAACGAAAGGTGAAACGAAAACACAAAAGCTTGATGATGGTACACTCTAAGAAATACCTGCGCGTCCATTTACCCGCAAAACACTCAAAGGGCCAATCTCTGCGATCTACGAAATCAGCTCAGCGAATGATGAGACGGTACATCCGTTCAGACCTAAAAATGAAGTCTGCGCTGTTGCATTACGCAATGCAAAGCGTCATGCTTGCACTGCGTAATGCCACAGCGAAGACTTAGTTTTGACTCTTGAGGCGTTCTGTATCATCATTCGCTGAACTGATTTCGTAGATCGCAGAGATTGGCTCGTGGAATGTTTTGCGGGTAAGTAGACGTGCAGTCATTTTTAAGAGAGCACATCTAAAATCCACAAATAACTTTCTCTTTTTCTTCAGTAAGTAAAACGACTCTTGTCAGCTTCTCCGAGTGGACGACTGGAAAAAGAAGAAAAGGGAAGGACGAACATATCGGGATCTCGGGTACGACAGAATTCAAAGCCGCACTCTAAAAAAAGTCTGTGCGTCTACTTTCACGCACAACACTCGGAGAACCAATCAGCGCAACTTACGGAGGCAGCTCAGCAAATGATGATGCCGAAACATCTGTTTAGACCAAAAAACGCAGTGACATTAAGCAATGCAAGCGTGACGTTTTGCATTGCTCAAAGTCACAACTCAGACTGCGTTTTTTGGTCTAAACATATGTTTCGGCATCGTCATTCGCTGAGCTGCCTCCGCAAGTTGCGCTGATTGGCTCTCCGAGTGTTGTGCGTGAAAGTAGACGCGCAGACTTTTTTTAGAGTGCGCGCAAGGGGCGATTTCAGCAGTAGTGCGCACACCGGCCCCGCTCCGGCGTCAAGAAACCCGGCACGGACATCTCCGTCTCGGCATCCCAGGCTCGAACATAACCGCCTCCGTCCACCGTGCCGAGGCATCGGGCCCATAAAGTACGGTCAAGGGCACCAGCGCATGCCAAGCCCCGGCCCATCGCAAGCCCTGGCCCGGTGCAGGTGACTATGCGTATATGACGAAAGTATTTTAAGTGACTAATTCTTTTGTCTCTTGCTCTTCGAGGATTCGTTTTCCTTTCTTTCTCTCCTCTCTTCACTTATTATTATTTTTTTTTTAAGTGTATGCTTAAATCTGCGTCTCAGTCTAGTGATTTCTCATCATCCCGGACGAACCGTGACAGCCCTATACACCAACACGCGGCACTGACGTCACGGTGCTGCTGTGGCGCTGCGTGCTCTTGGCAGGACGCATGCGCAGACGCTTACTTTCAAGCGAATCGGGTTCCTGCACCCGTACTTAGGGTAGGTGGCGCAGGCTACCGCCATTAACATCCGTCCATCCATCCGCAGCGCCCAAACATCGTGGGGGCTTGCTTAGAAACAGCGCAACACTGGAGAGGAGGCCCGATACCTGTCGAGCGTTCGCTCCGCCGAAGTGGTAGAAAGAGGGTGGAGCTTCGCCTGGGTTTTTGACCTGTCACCGACTATGTAGATGTATCCCTTTTGGGCCCACGTTTCCTACATTGCTTGCACATAACTTCGTCGCACCGTGCTGGTGTCCATTACCACTTGTGCTTGCTAAAAAATTAAAATAATCGGCGCCGCGAATGTTGTATTGCTAAGGCCATATTAATGGCTAATGATGTTACGTCATGTAACCTGTGTTTAAATTGATGCTCAGCTGCCAAAATTAGCCTGGGAAACGCCTTCTAGAAAACAAGGCCGCAGTGCTGAGATTTCAGCGTCGCCTGATGGAGGGCCATAGCGGGACACAGATTGAAAACGAGCGCTGCGCCAGCGTTGGACTGGAACTCTGGTACGGTCAGTGAAAACACGCGTTGGTTTTTTTTTGTGGGATGACGCTCAAAAATGTAGCGCTGCGGCCTTGTTGTCTAAGAGGTGTTGACCCATGACGTAGAAGTGGAGCGATCGCAAAAGCGTCGACGAAACTGAAAAACAACTGACCTGAGTTGAAGATGTGATGCAATTCCTCTTGCTGGAATCGGAAAAGTACATAGTTCTTGGTATTCTTTATGTAATTTAGTGGAAGAAAAGTGGTCTTGTGCACCTCCCTCAGGGCTTCAGGCTTCATGACGAGCATATCTCCCATTTTAATGAAGACGGTTATAGACTGAACTGACACTGTGCGAGGCTCCAGCTAGATCTGCCCCGGATGTCGTTGGCGTGGTGTTTATAACGACGCGTGCGGCCACGTGGTAAGTGTAGACTCTGCGCACATGTAGCGAAAGCAAAAACGCGCGTGCTACACAGGACAGCCTGCACTCAAAAAGGCGAATACGCGACACCATCGTAGATGACTCGTCGCCAGCTGCGTCGAAATGCAGCGGGACGGATGCGCGTGTTTAGCCTGTTAATCCCCGGAAGGCTGGTTGTCATGCGACGCATTTTCACTGCCCCATTCATCTTTCTTTATTTATTTGGATTCTATCCGGAGTAGCCAAGCCAGGCAGGAAAGTAGGGACACGTATACGACGAGGAAGTGTTCCAAAGTGCGTCTTTCGCGCATCAAAACGCAAAGATGAGAGAGGGAACACGTATAGGAAGGCGCGATGACGAAGCAGCCATCATTGGTTAAGGTGAGGGGTAAACAAAAGCACGTGCGCGCTTGGGGAAAGGGGGGGGGGGAACAAACGCACCAAAGGCCCGATTCACGAAGCTAAGAAGTTCGTAAGTTCGTAAGAAGAGGAAAAATCGGTATCCACGAACGCGTTCTTAAAGGGGCAATAAAATCGATTTTGAGATCGTCCTTTTGTGGTGACAACTCAATCTGGACGCTATAAACATCCCAACAAACCCGAAATCACAACCGTACGTAGCTTATTTTCTCGTTAAAAGCGTGTTCAAAGATCGCGACACGCCCTTTTTGGGAAGAATCTTCTTCGCAGTGAAGTGATCGACGAAGGGCGCTTGTCGGCGAGTTGCAAGCGATGGCTTCGCCTGCGGAGAAAAAGAGGGGCCTTATCAGAAAGTGTACCTATCAGACTCTCTTCGAGACGAGTTATAATAAAATCATTCGGAATCTGCGCGTATTGTAGGGCTTTCATTGGTCCGCACATTATAGTCCGCGAGAAGAAAGAGTCCACATGTATTTCTTTTGCCCTGAGATGAATAGGCGGTTTTGAAATATAGGACTTGGTATATGTAGGAACTACAACGAGGTAAAGGGGACCGGGGTTCCGGTCTGCACTCGAAAGTGACCCCCATAATGCCGCTGCCATTGTACGCAAATGTGACCACTCCTCACGTGACCAAGCCAAATACGTGACGTGACAGGAAAGATGGCAGCGCCCAGGCAGCGGCTGGACCCAGCTGGGCCGGAGCATTGTCCGGAGCTTGTTGTTCGTTGTCGTTCGTCTCGGCAAGCTCATTTCAGACGCGGAAGCCGTCATATGAGGCCGGTCGAAAGCGACTTCAGAGTTTAGCGTGGTGTCTCACGTAGGTATAACCGTATAACGTGAAAATATGGAGGAACGTTGTGCATTTCGTTGGTGATCGACGGGGATATGGCCACGAAAGAGACATTCGGCCCTGCGTTGCTCGGACCTCATATTGATTCGGATATCGCTAGGATAAATTTTAAGGCGGCGTTTTTGTGCTCTCGGTGACTATTTTAGGGTTCGGCGCTTTCAGTTTTTATTTTTTTTCAAATTCGGCGTACTTTTTCGGTGTTTATTTTAAAGTTCACTTTTCGGTAGTTTTCGGTGTATATTTATTCCCAAAAAGGTTTACCGTTTTTTTTTTTTTTTTCAGTGAATATGAAAGAAACACTATCGGACACCGGATCAGATTATCCTTGTAGCTGTGATATTTCTGATTACTCAAAGAATAACAGCACATATACATACGTGGTCTTCGCTACAACTTCCCGTCAGGGCGCACCTAAAAATCACGGAATAGACCCTTTCCGGAATTCAGTCTGGCCACATTGATCACTATCATCATCATCTGAAAACGGTATATGTGCTATACTAATGGCGGCCTTCTGTTTACTGATGAAGGAAGAAGTTGAAGATGCTCCTAAGCAGGTGATTCGAGGCTTACACATTCTAGATGTTAGCGCGACGTAAAGCAGGAATTGGAAGCAAGAGCTGCGTAAGCGTTCATTTCTAACTCAGTCCCAGTCAATCTGTTAGTATAGCACTCAATCGGCTTCAAAGCCTCTTGATGTATAGGACTCTATCAAGGCGTCTATGTGGGTTGGCGCTTCTTTCCGACTGGCTGCATTTGTTTCGCCATCGACACTAAAAGAGATTGAAAAATAATTGTAGTGAAGTGAACATTCTCGTTTACCGTTGATCTTTAAGTGACGGTGCCCCATTAATTACTGCAGACCACAGGCTCATTGCCGCCATTAGTATAGTAAAAGATAAACTGCCATTTGAGTCACCAGATGGCACTAAATTCCGGAAAGGGTCTATTCGCGGGCATAATCTTCAGCACGCTTCTTTTTCCTTCCCATCCTAACGACGTGACCGTCTGAGGTGATGACCGTACAACCCCCAACAAAATGGCAGAAAACAATTCATTGTATTTATGTTTTTAACCACAGGGAAGTTTGAGAGATGGAGTTAAGAAAGGTATTAACGGTTTTCCTCGATGTCTTCTGAAATGCAGGAAACGAAAAACCTTATACTAGCCCACATCCGAACTTTTCTTTTAGGACCGGAAACTTGGCACACTAAGCCCGATCACAGAAAGGACCCAGATGTCCCGCGAAGGCCAATCCAAGATCTTTTTTGTTGCATGTTGAACCTTGGAAGAGGGCAATCACGAAGAGGTCACACAATGTCGAACCTTGCAAAGCCCTCTCTCTCTCTCTCTCTCTTCCCCCCCACCCACCTCGGCGCGGCCGGCGTACTTTTATCGGTTTAAGCCGAAAACGCCGAAACATAGCGTATAACGTGAAAATACCGAGAAACCTTGTGCATTTCGCTGGTGATCGACTGGGATATGGCCACGAAAGAGACAATCGGCCCTGCGTTGCTCGGACCTAAGATTCGGATATCGCTAGGATAAATTTTAAGGCGACGTTTTTGTGCTCTCGGGGACTAATGGAATCTTCGAGATCTGCAGTGAAGCGTGTATAATGCATCTGGATACACAGTTTAGCTACGGAAATTGCGCGAGTCGTGCTTGGCAGTGTGCAATCGTGGTGCCGCTTCGTTCAAATAACCGAAGGCTCACTTCGGTTGTGCGGCGCACCGAAGAGCTGCCTTTAAGTTGGTAGTTCCTGTGTCGTGCTCAGTGGCGTATCAACTTGTTTCTGAGTGGGGGGGCAAACCAACCCCCCCCCCCCCCCCCCCCCCCATATTTGTACTAGTGATGGGCCGAACTTTTGCCGAATCTTGGGATTCGGCGGCGCCGAACGTTTGCCGTAATTTTCTAAAGATTCGGCAAAGATTCGGCAAAAATACACTATTCATCATCATCATCATCATCATCATTTATTTTCCTTGAGGGCCCGTGGGGCATTATACAAGGGAATGGCAATAGAACAAAAACAAATAGAACAGTAAACACAATTATAACGCTGTAAGCTAGCTAGGTAGGAAAAACGACGACGACGACGAGCTCTGGTGAGGCTGATCTTTGAAAGCTATCGCTATCTTTCCAGTTTTTTCGCGTTGCTTAATATACTCGGCGCCAACCCTATTATCCTGCAACGCGACTTAAAAATATTGCATCTCCCGGCCTCCCGGCAGGGTTGGTCTCTCCCACTGTGCTTCGAGAATACACTAAGCATGCAACGTAGCCCATGATGGAAGCCATGGACATTCCAATCCATCCCAACCCATATAACGAGCTTTCGGATGCCACCGATCAAGAACTCCCGACATGTGGCCAAAAAGATCAACCTACAACCCAGGCCTCCGGGATCCTGTTAACGGAACATCATCTGTCAATCAATGGACGACCAACTGGCACTGAGTCAGAGGACACGGACATGCAACATGAAGAAGACATAAAAGAAGTTACCATCATTTCAAATGACAAGTCCTTCAGCACAGTGGGGTCCCGAAAACGCCAACGACCAGGCACGAATTCTTCGAGTAACAACACTGTTATCTCGTCCACATCCGCTCTAACCTGCATTGGACATACTGTAATATTTACACCACAAGATGCCTCAAAGCAGCTGGGAAACATGAACAGCATTCGCTTGACATCTTTCTTCGAAAACATCGCCCCTTCCTGCATCCTAGAGATCAAGATAAACAAGAAACTAAACCTGATCGCAGTGGATACACGAAATCTGCACACCACGTCAACACTACTGACACTGACAGAGCTTCTTGGAATACCGGTCTACGTTTATGAGCCACAAAACAAGAACACTTCAGTTGGAGTCGTTCATGACATTGACCCAGATATCACGATGCCACAGCTTCGAGAGCAACTCAAGTGCAACGCAACAGTTGCTCAAATACGACGTCTGGGAACGTCATACACTGTGCGTATAACATTTGGTTCTCCCGTGCTACCCAGTCATGTACTTGTCGGGTGCGTTAGGCACAAAGTAGACGCCTTTGTACACAGGCACGCGCTCGCAAAAAATTTGGAAAGCTAGGTCATGTCCTTGCTGCTTGTAAGCGCAAAAAGGCCTGCACCCGATGCTCTGGGGATCACACACCAGACAAATGCAGCGCGAGAACCCCACTTTGCATTAACTGCGGCGGGGAACATGAGGCTTTCTTTCCGAAATGCCCAAAACAAAAGTTTGGCGATGCCCAAGAAGCGGGTTCAAGGCCTCAAAATGTAAAAACTGCAGCTGTGTGCCACACCGATTTACTGCCTCAAAACCACCCACAAAAAGTACCACATCAACGTGAGAACCTTGCTACTACAGCAACAGCGAACAGCAAACAAAAAGAGCCCCCAAAAGCAGACCTTGCGAAAGGTAACTACGGCAAAGAAAGAGAAACTCTCAAACCGCAACCAGAGGAAACAGTGGACATTATGAAATCCCAACACCGCTCGGGGCCATCGGTCCTAGTGGATGGCGAAAACGCGTCACCTGAGACAAGCAAGTATAACTACGTAGATGCCCTGAAGGCAACATACAAAAAAATTGGAAACCCGCATACAGAACCTTCCCCCACTAAGCCCGAAAGAAGGCCTCAAAGCCAAAAGCGAAATGAAACTTCAAAGCCAGACGATTCAGCTGCACTTGATTGGAAAATGATATTTAGA